TTTTGTAGGACTATGATTTTACTAAGGTGTGAAAGCTGAAAGAATTGAAAAGTAGATAAAACTGAAACTTATACCTGTTTCATTGACCTCTATCCTGGATCCATTGGTGATTCTGTCAAGAAGACGTATGAAGCTAGCCTCAAAATCTAGAGGGAGAATAACAGACATAGAACTTAGAAGCTGAATTAGAAGGGGAATTGGATGATCTCGTTCATTTGCATAATCATATCCAACTTATGTTAATAAAAATGTCTTGGATTATCCCTCAGAATAGTCAAGTAAGTGGATCGTTGTTGTTGTTGTTTTCAAAAATAAATGACCCAAACTTTATATGAATTGGAACTTATTTTGTTTTAGTTGACAAGTTTACGCCATTCGCCAAGACACATGCACATGTATGCACATGAGGAAGATGCAACAGTGTTTTGATAAGAAAAATCATCAAAGATACGAACCTTGTACCCCAGGATTGGCTTCCTTGTGTCTTATTTTCTTGATCTTCACGGGCCGGTTGGAAAGTGTTGCTAAAACAAGCCTCTGTCGTAGAAAATTGCATCCTTCGTATGTCAACACGTGGGAATGAGAACCGCTCGACGCCATTTTGATTTGACCTTTTCAGACTATTCCACTAGCACGAGGGGTGTGGGCCTTCTTCTCTTCTTCCTGATAGCGACCGCAAAAGTAATTTCTGAGTCTGAGTCATTGGTAATCTTGACGATATTTCATAACATTAAGTTAACTGTACTTTTAATATGATGTAATAACGATATATTGTGATATTGAAGGTCTTTATTGGCGATTTGGACTTAAATCTTGTTGATGACCTATAATGCAAGTGGACTTGCCCAGGTCTTGCTTGACCTGATCGAGTCTGACTTCACAAGTCTACATGATGTAACGTTACTAGAAGTAAGTCTACATGTAGGTCCTTGTACCTAAGCGGCACCTCTGAGCAAGTTACATTTATTTGTACTTCTATATGATCTTCTGTTACTAAGTGTTAGTGCAAGTAAAATGTTTTCAGCTGAAAACCGGTGCTGGACTTTCCTTCAACCATGGAATCATTGGAACACCAGTACGGAAGGCGTTACTTTTGCAATTATACAGCTACTTGCTAACAACATCACGCGTGGAACACGTCATGCTTTCGTCAGGTGTAGATGTTTTGTTTTGTTACCTCCATGAAAAATGGCGGTATTGTTTTTGGTGTTTCTGTGTGTGTTTCTGCACATTTATGGATTGGAAACTCTGTAATTACAGTGTTTTACCATGGTTTTACATATTAAATAGTCAATAGTACTTTACGTATGCATATAATCTATGGCAGGTGGAACATTGACATATATAAATTATGCAAATAATTTGCATAATAAACGTGAAAACTCTCTAAAGGATGGGAATTATACCTTGTGACATACTGGTATGTAAGTTTACTTAAAGGTAACAATCACTATAGGTAAGCATGACATGCTACTATGTTAATGTAGAGATCACTTGCATAATTAAGGCCATTCCAATTTAATATCGCCCGCTTCATTTTTTTCTGATTTGCAAATAAAAATAAAAATTCAGAATCAACTGCAAAATGCTCATATTTTGCCCTGAACAGTTGAAAACAGTCCTTTTCTTCCTAGTTGTTACAGTTATTCCATCAATGCAGTGGTATCATTAAAAGTTCAAAATTCATTGTTTAAATTTTGAACCAGCCTGGTGTGTTGACTTCATGGCTCCTATTGTACCATTTTGGGCCATAATAGGATGCCTAGGCCTGTTTTATTTTTTCCGCCCGCCCGCTCCATTATTTTTCTTAAAAAATCTTTTAACCAAGAAATTAAAATTGGTGTGGCCTAATGGAGACGTTGAAATAAAAATTGCCAAAGGATAGGAATTTGACACGCAACAATTGTAATTTGAGTTTAGAAAACCATAAATTGAACAAGATTATCGTAATTTTTGACGACTTTATTCCCATGATCAATGAGACAAATTAAAAAATAAAAACATTTAAAAATGCATGTTTATATACAAATGTAAAAAAACTCAGCTGCAGTACCATTGGTAAAAGCCAGGTGGACCATTTTTGACCTCTAACTACATTTTCACAATAGCTACCGACATGCCGAAATTAAAAAAAATCCATCCACAAATACTCGAGTTATGACGTTGTCCTTAATACAGGGACACGCCACAGCTGCTCCACCAGAATCTACCGATTACATACCTTTCTGACTAAAGCAAAAAGTAAAACTGTTACAGCAAAGAAACTTTTTGACCAAATGTTCACAGAAGGGATCAAATTATCTATAACTTTGTGATGAACATGTTGATATTCTGTGTTGATATATCAGGCTGAGCATGTTCATTAGTAATGATGAGGTCTTTGGAATGAGCCAGCTCTGTCACCTGTGAAAACATGTCACAACACTCAATTTAATACACTCTGTTATTTTATACGATAGAACTCCTATGGAACACTAACCTACATGTACAGACCCATATGTTGATAGCAAATTGAAGAATAGATATTTGCTATCAACATAGAGATAGTATCTCCCCTCTGCATTGAGCTTATGACGAAACAATGACAGTGTTACATAAAATGTATTGTCATGTTACTGTAATGAAAAGTTCAAATGTTTTCATAGCTATATAATATATCTCAAGCTTATTTTCCGTAACTTGTAAATTGACCACTCTGTTTTTGCTTTTTGTACGAACCTTTTCAGTGATGTTGGGTTCTTGGTCGCCCTCTTTCCGAGCCCATGGCTGGACGTCGGTGCTCATGAACACCACGGTGAAAATCCCTCCCACTCCCTGAATAGCTGCTCCTATGTAGAAGATTTTTGTCCAGGCAGCAACAGTTTGCTGAAAGAGTCCACAAACATACAGTCAAACCTGTCCCAGCAGGCACCTGTCAGGCAAAGTAAGCATGGATGTCAACAGGAAAGCCAACAAGTTGAAGGGAATGCAGGACATTGCATTTCTTACCCCTCATGCGTGGCGAAACAGAGCTTTATACTGGTACCCATGTGAAAATTTGGGTGATCTTGAAATTGTTCCCAACTGCAAAATAGCCTGAAATGTCGTGTTGTGTTGCACCACACATCGAGTTCTGTTGAGTTGTATCGAGCTGAATTGTGTTGCATTGAGTTGTTTTGTGTACTCACATCATTCTCTGTTATGAAGCCAACCAACAGAGGAGCAAAGATCCCTGGAAGATTCCCTGCCGTGTTGGCCAGTGCGAAGGTCACACCGCTATACCTGGGCGCAAATTCAACATGGACCACCCGCATGCCTGCTGTCGTCAGACCGTTAAAGGCCTCGGAGAGACACAGCAGGGCAACGGCAACGACAGGGTTACATCCGCTCAGGTTCGCCAGGATCACTCCACAGATTACCATGCCGGAAAATCCTGTGTGGAGAAAACCATACCGGTATTCACAATAAAGAGGATAACATTGGCCAACAATGTCATGCAATGTT